GTTTCAAAAAGGCGGGGCATAAAGGAGAAACAATAATGTACAGTATGTGGAAAATAATGTGTTTTATTTAACTTTAAACCGCATAAACACATTTCATTACACCAAATACACAAAATAATGTTCTTTTTAGCAGCATCATATGACCCCTTTAAGAAAAGAAATATGACTATATGTAAAAGTAAAATTCATTATTAAATCAGTTTTTAAAAGAGGTCAATTATCTTTGAAATTTCACATGGGTTTGAATCAGATTCAGTTTACACCCGGATGGTGCATCTTACCCTGCACTGACTCGGATCAACTTACCCCTAACCTGTGGCAAGTTGAGCCACAGGAACACTTTTTAAAATGATAACCCATATTTTTAAAATTATTTGTCAAAGATACATTGTGATCATTTAAAATGATAGAAACATCCTGAAATTACTTAAGATACTTTCATTGTACTTCTGCCTCATTTTCCCTTATTTTGAGGACCACATGAGTAAAAAAGGCTAATTTTACTCTCCCCTACTTATAAATATGAAAACGTTTTTCATGGGATACAGTAAATTAACTGCTTTTATTTGAGTCAAAATATTATTTAACATGGCTAAATCAACTTGCATTAGGCTACAACAACAAAAGTCAGGTCAGGAAAAGGTCAGTTAGACAACTGCAGAGTTTTTTTTTTTGGGAAGTATAAAAGTTCCACATTGGTGTGAAAACTTTTGTAAAATGGTTTGCAATTCATGTAATTTAGTTAAGGTCTAAAACAGTTGCCCATTAGTGGGGAATTTTTTTTTTTTGTAGGAGAGAACAACAGTGACCAGTAAGCATGTGATAATACTTAATTTCAGTCTAAAGATGTGTGAAGTGGCTTGAGAACTGGACTGGAGACCTTGTTTGTCAGTGATGAAGTCAAGGTCAGATTGGAATAGCTCCACAATGGTGGTCTCTATGGGCTTGCAGTATTGCACAGTCCACAGTGCCAGAGGAAATGCCTCTCCTCAGTGCACAGACAGTGAATGCTGCAAACAATGGCGATTCAGTCGTGCCATCATCTCCCCTCTGACCGTCTGTCATCACCCTGCTGTTCAGCCCATCCCTCTAAAGGCTTTAGGATGATGACAGTGTTGGTGATGTTTGTTTCACTGATATCAGCCAGTCCAGACTTTTTCTCAGGGGTGGAAAAAGCTAGAACAAACAATCCCAGAGGTTAACAGTCGCGTGAGCGAATCTCAGCCTATGTGCTGATCAAATTATTGGTTATTTTAAAGATAACATTATCTATATTTCAGCCACTTTACAGTAACAAAGGTCCAGGAGATAGTCCTCTCAACTTTTTCCAGATCCTTCCATTAATGCCTTTTGGATATTATGGCACCATTTGCCCTGGTGGTCTGGAAAGGGTGTAAAATGTTTTTACAATCAATGTTTATTTTTAAAGACAACCTTGTTAGATAAAATCTAAATTGAATTAAAGGCACAATATGTAAGTTTTCGTCGCTAGAGGGCGCATATTCAAAACAAGCAATAAACAAAGGCGTAGTTTGATGACGCCGTGACTGAGTGTGGAATCATGGGAGTTGTTGTCTTCATCCCCACAGCCGATGCAATCCGACGGGACTCGGGCAGAAATCATGTTAATTGATGAGCTAATGTATTAAAGACTTATTAAGGTCACTGTAGTATGATGCAGGGTGGGGCTAAAAGTCGTGGAAGTGAATCGAGGCCACTGGAGTGATTGCTAATGAAGGACAAGCGCGATACACGGCTCGATAGCAGTAGAGCTTTTATTATGCCACAGTCGACCACTTCTGCTTCTTCCGGTCATGCGTATGTGGGGTAAAACAGCGCTGTTTTATACTAAATACATTTGAGTGTATTGAAAGTTCCGTTAAAATGCTACTCTGTGTGTTCGTCCCCTGTCTAATAAAATGCATAACATATTAAAGTGTCTTTGGGGTTTCCATGTTTTCAACAAAATAAAACCGGAAAAAATCAAGGGTTATGATGTCATTGGCAGGCGACACAATGACACTATGGACATGCTCCGTTACAATAGTTAAAATGGCTTATTTTTCTGGATTTAAACATTCTTCAAAACATTTGGGATAATGTAAGTACACAAGTCAGCAAAATATATAACACTATTCTAGTGGTTTTGGGATATTTTCATAAACAAATTATGACATTACATATTGTGCCTTTAAATCCTATATCACTTGTTTGATGGTTTGATGATCCAATCAAAACCAGATGGATAAAACCAAGTCCCACCCAATGTCATTTGATATAGTGATAGATTGCATTAACTAAATATAAAGCAAAATGTGTTGAGAGTACAGTCTTTAATGACCAAATAAATTATTTGATACACCACAGTCAGGCTTTCCTGCCTTGTTTTTGTTAACCCACACGGAGTAGGCTGAGTAATTTATGTCTTGGAATTTATTACTTCCTAGATCAGTAGCTAGCTATCTAGTCTTTTCTGTTAACTCTTTAGTAGCCTTTTAGAAATGTATCTTTGATAGTAGAGTGATCTAAAGACTGACCTTAAACTGACACTGCGTGTTGGGACACGATAAGATCTCACCTCCATTTAGCCCCTCGTACCCCTCACTCGTCACTTTGACCCTTCAAGAGTCAGTTTCCCTATTGCAAACTCTTGATCTCTTGTGCAATGGGACAACATTGGCAGTGGAGCATTTCCTCTGTTTACTACATCCTTGAGAAAATAGTTGCGGTTTTCAGTAACTGCCCAGAATGTGTTTTTGCTCCATCATCCTAAGGAGAGCGTGTACGGATGAGCACGTTACCAAAAAAGTTACCAGAGCAAAAAGTTTAAATTCATGCATCCTGCTCAAACTATGTTTGCGGGGGAGGATACAGGAAGTGGCTGAAGGGTGACACAGGGAGAAAACATATATCAAGCCCATCTTCCTGTGTGATAAATCTGAGAGTTTCTCTGTGACTGGAGTCTTGGGAGGCTCCTTCACAGGTGGCTTGTTTATGGCTAAGGAGTTGTTGCTGATTTAGCTGTGGTTGCACAGCGGTGGGGAACCTGTGAGCGGCTGCCTGGTCTGCTCCCCACATCTGCTTACTCTGCGAAATCACAGCACTGCCATTACCACCACTGGAGTAATTACTGTGCTTGACACGCAGGGCCCGTTTAATGCATGTCAGATGAGGACCAATGGATTGGATTCGCTGTCAGCTGTGTCTCTCGGCAGAAACCAAGATCCTTGAATATCATTATGTGCTCTACATTCAGGAAATCCCCCTTTCTCAACAAACTACAAAGGGAATATCTAGAATTGTGTGTTGTAGACTTAAAAATCATATGGAAAAGTCTGTGGCTTTTTGCTTAAGACTTACAAAACAAGTCTATTTGGAAGATGCCATTTAAAACAAATACTTAGGATATGGTTCTCTCCTGTATTGGTAGCCAATGAGCTTGCTGCTCAACATTCAAATATATGACTAGAGCTTTGCAGCAGCAATATTTCTTACATGCTCACAGCAGCATGTTGTGGATGTATTGGCAGTAGCAAGTCTCGGTACTACTCGGTATCTGTTCCGCCAAAACCAAATACATTAACATTGTCATTTACATTACCATGCCAATCCCTCCGAGAGTTGTCATGACAGAAATAGTGATATTATTTAGTGAGATTCTTTGGGGAAAATAATTTGCCTAAATAAATAATTAATTTAATTTTATAAGTGCACTACCGTTCAAAAGTTATATATATATATAACGGGAAATATGGTAATATTTCAGTGTCAGTTAGATGGAAATCTTTGGCCTAGCTATTAAAGCTAGACACTGGGGCCCTTAATTAAGCCTGCTGAGTGCAGAAAAGCAGAGGAAGCTTGACTTGTTTATGTGCATCTCATCTCAGCGTGTACGTTGCCACAGGACTTTAATGAGTTCAGAAGCTGTGCACAGGAGTCTCTCAAACTCGAATCGCTCTGACTGCGCACTGGAGCGATGCGATTCACATACACATCTCTGTCACAGTACCTCTGGATCTTTATGAATTTTTAAGCTTTGTTGAGAGTCCTGAAGATCTAGGTCAATGGAGCAGGATGGAGGACAGGATAGACAGTGAGGAAACCTGTGAGGAAATGGCACAAATTTCCCTTCATGCATGAGATGGTTTGCCTTCTTGGTGCTCATGTTCTTTTGTCTATAAAGAGAGAAAAAAAACCTTCATAAAATGTAATTTTCCACAGAAATTGAAAGCATAAAAAAGCATTTCACTGATTATTTTGATGAAGTAGCTCTTGACCTGTAGTCATACTCGTTTCAAAGGCTAAGAACATAGGGCTGTAATCTTATTTCTGTCTTTGGCTCTTATATGATGAGTTCATCTGTGGACAGAGTTCCGCCCCCAAAAACCCCTGCATTTTTGTTTCTTTTTCACAAGTGGATTGCATCATCGGCTCTTCAAAAGGTTCTTCAAGCGATGCCATAAAAGAACCATTTTTGGTTCCACAAAGAACCATTCAGTCAAAGGTTCTTTAAAGAGCCATCTCTTTCTTACCTTTTTATAATCTGAAGAACCTTCTTTCGCCTCAAAGAACCTTTTGTGAAACAGAAAGGTTCTTCAGATGTTAAAGGTTCTTTATGGAACCATATAAACAAAAAGGTTCTTCTATGGCATCGTGAAGCACCTTTATTTTTAAGAGTGTACTTACTTTGTATTTGCTTCTATTTACTTACTACTACTTTAGATAAAACTAAATTTGTCATCAGAGTATTTATGATACTTCATTTGGATGAAGCCAGTTTAAGAAATCTAAGATATTACTCAGTTTGGACATTTTATTGTGTATTAAATTTAGATTTTAACAATGATTTTGTCAAAGTTTAATTGTGACTTTAGAAATTTTTTTAAACTTTAAAATAATATGCAATTTCAATAGTGATA